GCTGAATTTTACGGAGACTTGCCACGGTCTCCAACCCTCCTCCTTTCTAATCCGGGCTTGGGACCGGCCATGGCGGAGTTATTCATTCATTCACAAACTCGCGTTCTTCCATTCTTCTTCTGATTCGTTCTTCGCACTACCTCTTCTTCACTGGTTCATTCATTTTCACTGCTAACTTTCTCCTGGTCACAGAAAACGATTTTCTTAATCAGCGAAAATGTACAAGTCGAATGGTTTGAATTTAAAGTGTCCAATTGCCATTCTTTTGCATAATTGAATAAAGTGATGCTCGATGATTCATTTCGATGCTGTTGTGTATTTAAGGAACTTCTGGCTGACGTTTATATTAGAACGTTGTTAACAGAAGAACAGATTCGATCTTTAGTTAGTTCTAATTAATGCTCTTTTTTCCTTTTGTAGTCGTTGCAGAATGGTGAAATACCCCCGGTGGTCAACAGTGACCTGTTCAAGCCGATGGATACGGTCGAATCATACAAAATGTTCAAGTTTTGGAAAATACAGGCCCAAATGAATAACCGAAAGGACAAACATACCGCAGAACAATCGAATGAGCTTAAGGTCTGTCATACTTAAATGTGTCGAATTATCTGCATATAAGAAATACCGCTTAAATCGTTATAGATAGATTGTAAGTTATTCATTTATATGGTTATTCGCTTAGATGATCAATGTCGTTCGACAGCTATAAAAGAGACTACCATCTGTATATTCTTTGCGTGTGGAATCACGGAAGCAGCGTTATTATTGAAGAGCGGTGTGATGCCACTGTACTTAAGAGATCGGCTTCGAACTCTGGAGGTGCCGGGTTCGATTCCCACCGAGGATAATCTTTGTCGTAACCCTTTGTTTCAGACTGGGGTTGCTCACAGTAGCACAGCGTCGGATTCAGAACCGACGCATACCGTGTTCGAGCTCTGGTCGGCGTCACGCCGTTGTTTCTTTCGATGTTGAAAAATGACTACCACTCTATGGGAAAAAACAAAAAAGGTACCATATTCTTGCCAAGTAACTGCTGTCAATTCTACTTTGGAACAAGGCACTCGTTGCTGATTATATGCAAAACAAGATCACCGCTCCACCATCGACTTCATGAAAGTGAAGTAAGGCCGTCATCCCAACGGTTACAAACTTTCCTTCCCTCCTTCTTTCCTTAATTACTGAGTTTCAGAAAGCAGTATCTTCATATTTTCTTTTACAAACAACTGGTCTCGAACTATTGTATTATTGTGACTGAACATTTACCTATCCAGTGCTATGGCTGACAGTTGATTGAATGCAGATACAAACATACAGATGATTCGTGTTGCTGTTATCATCGCCCTCAGGTCGTTTTATAGAACTACCCGTGCAAGCCACCTGAGTTCAATATCGATCTGGAAAAATCAACGAGGAGTTGCCGCGAAACTCCCGAGTTACCGGTCATAAATGCCGAATGCCAAGAGCCAAAAATGCTTCGTGAGAGTAGTGAAATGCAACAAATTAAAGTTGGTTCAAAAGAACGTGAAGCTAAACGGAGATTTTATTGCGTCTTCTGTTACAACAACAGCAGCTGGAACGTGCAGCAGTGGTCGAGTCACGTGTGCAAAGCTCCTAATGGAACTATCGTGTAAAAAAATACATATTTTTTAAAAATATTTTTGTGCATGGAAATATTTCAGATGCCCGGTTCTTCGAAGACTGATATGTCCGGTGTGCGGAGAAACAGGCGACTATGCTCATACTAGGAGGTACTGTCCAACCCTGACAAGATATCGAAATGCGGTGATTGAACGTGATATTCTAACAGGAAATAGGCGTATAATATGAAAAAATGAAAAACTAGAAACGAAATGCGTTCGATTTGATTTAACGTAACAAACTAGTCACCATTTCATCTGTACTTTAAATCGCTGAAGCTTCGTACAGTCAATGTCATAATGCCATTTTGAAAAAATTTTTACCGACAAATATACTTGCATTTTAGTGTAATTACATTTAATATCCGCAAAAAATATGCATAAATGCTTTGCATACGTGCAGCTGATTTCAGTCAAGTATCATGCAAAGAATTACAAAGCTTAACATAAAGATGCTTGAAATGCATTTGATTAAAACATTTAAAAACTGATAGACGGACCAGAGAAAACTAGCCGGCATATTCGTCGGATGCATTTAAATTTGACCGTTTTAATTACTGACAATAGAAGAGGTCAATTAAACAGTATTCTAGACCTCAGCCAACATGTTAGAAAGCTGGGAATGCAGCGGACATCACAAACTTATAAATAAGAAACAGCAAGTTCACAAAACTCCGCCATGGCCGGTCCCAAGCCCGGATGAGAAAGGAGGAGGGTTGGAGACCGTGGCAAGTC